ACTAAAACGCAATAGGTTAATGAATATCAGAGAGTATTAGGAAAAGAAAAATCATTATTAAGGAGTCCAATAAAAACAGGAGTTAAGACAGATGATAACGATTGTCATTGCATTTAAATTTGGCAGACTGTATGCACTTGATTTTGTTGAAATCCTTACCGTTTAGTTAATAAATCTTAATTCTTTGGAGCGTAGGGTTTCAAAAAGAATACCTAAAAATTTTTTAAACATTTCACCCAAGCAAGGAAATAAAGCAACTAAGACGCAAGTGATTACTCAGCGTTAGATAAAATTAAACACTATTAAGGAGATAGAACAATACAAGAACAATAATTAAGAAGACAGAAGATAACGATTGACATTGCATTTAAATTTTTGAAGACTGGAAAGCAAGAATCCAGAAGCGGTTCCACAAACAAGAAATGCGTGAGAACATTTTAATTTACGGATACATCAAGTCATTTCAACTATAAATTTGATGAGACCTTGTTGTTAATCTAATGCACTTAAATTCGTAAAGTAATTCGTAAAGCACACATACTTTATGAATTTAAATCGGCGGCTGTATAGGGATTCTTGATAAAATCCGAAGACGAATCAGCAATATTATTGATCCTGACCTTGTGTCTTGGCTTCAGTCACCGCTATAAAGTTGATCCTTGTGCCTTTTCTATAAAGATTTTCATGGTAATTGTTCGGATGATCTCTTCACTATGGTATCCAGACTTTATGAATTTAAGTGCAATTGTAGATTAACAACAAGATCTCATCAAGTTTACAGTTGAAATGGCTCGATGTATCCGTAAGTTCTATGTTAAAATGTTCTGTTCTCGCATTTCTTTTTGGCGGAAGCGCTTCCGACTTCTTGCTTTCTAATGCAATGTCAATCGTTATTACCTGTCTTAATTGTTGTTCTTTTATTATTCTCTCTCTTTAATATTGTTTACTTTTTCCCATATTCTCTAACACTGAATAATCACTTACGTCTTAGTTGCTTTATTGCCTTGCTTGGGGTGAAATGTTTAAAAAAATTACTTAGATATTCTTTTTAGAATCTTACGGTCACACGAATTAGGATTTATAATTAAGTAAATGGTAATGATTTCAGCAAAAAACAAGTGAATAAAGTCCGTCAAATATAAATAGTTCCGCACCAAAATATTTACATTGTTTGTAACGCTGTCCACCTTCCGAGGAGTTTCCAATCAGACTGATTATTAGTTCATGAAGTGTTTATCTTGCATTTCGAATTGTGGTTGTTTGTTTTTTTTTTCTACAGTGGCATATCAACACCTCTATGGGTTATTTAATGCCGAATACTAAATATTTTGAAAGCAATTTTATGGCTTCTGCTGCATATATTTTGAACGCAATTTTATTCCTATTCTCTCGCAACTACAGATATTTGTATATAATTTTGTACTTTCAAGGTAACCTTATGTTTTATAGATATAGTTTCTAGTTTGTTTAGCGGCATATCAACACTTTATGGGTCATTTAATGCCGAAATTTAACTCTCTTGGTGACATCAGTAATCATTAATTTCTTTTACAATAATATATTTCTTGTATTTTTTTTTTTTACAAAAATGTATTGCTGGTAATTTCTTTACTATGAAAATGTATTGCTAGTATTATTACTATAAAAACATTTATACTTTCATAGTGTTTTGACCCCAGTTTGGAAGTTAACTATTTGCCCATAGCTAGGACCCTAGCAGGTGCTACCACCCCGAATCAAGCTGGAACTGGGAACAACAGCAATTAAAATATCCTCAAAACCTCCTGATAAAAGGCCTTGTTATCGCATGTAGTTTATCGTCATACTCTGGACGATACTTTCTAGATAATATCCCGCAAAAAATGGTGACTAACTGACGTGATTTTCCTATATATATATATATATATATATATATATATATATATATATATATATATATATATATATATATACATAAAGAATAAGGCAAACGACAAGGAATTTAAACAAATAAATATTAACAATTATATCAGAACATATTATAAAAAAGGAAAATGAGAAATGAAATTAAATGAGAAGAATTAATAGCAACATTCACTATCTGTCTTTGGGACAGATCTGTCCCAAATCTGTCCAAAAGAGCAAAATGAGAATATCTTGACGCTATTAAAGTTACCAAGGAAAGAGGGAGACCCTTTCAAATCTCACGCCGCTTTTAATTATCGTCAGGGGGCGGTAATCCAAACGTTATATACTATATTTTTTAATTCAATAACAGACTTAAAAAATATTTCTGCAAAATTTAAATAAAAAAATTATTTATTACCGAATTATTTCCTAAAAGTTCAATAAAATTGTTACTGATTTTCTAGGCTTTTAAAGAATTAAATTTTCTTCACTCCAAATTAAATTAAATCTGAAGAGTTCAAAGCAACTGCCTTTGAGGTACTTACCAACAAGAACGAGAAGAGGACGTTTTATCGGTATGAAAGAAACCAATGAAAAAGGGTGTTCCTTTCAAATCTCGCTTGTCGGCTGATATGAAATTGAAGCCAAACCTATTCCCGCACAATACTGCATTAATGTTAGTGTGCAGCACCGAAGTTCTAGGAAGGTCCCACACAGATACAAGGGTACAATGCAGAAATGTCGATAACTACATAAACCCGTTATTTTTTACGTTTACTATATTTTTATAAGATATGTCTCCATACTTGATTGAGCAAATGTATGCATATATAAGCTTATATAAATAAAATCTTTGGGAAAGCATTGCCCTGGAGTTTCGCAGGGGCGAAAATGTTTTTGTTGTTGTTTTTTTTTTTTTTGTCTCTTTCACGAAGAATTACTGACGTGTTCGGAAAATTTCACCAAAAAAGACCCAAATATATAATGTCCAACTCTTCTGTTGAAGTATTTTCACTGAAATGGTGCAGGTAACCCATCTCTCACAGACGAGATATTGTAAGCCTCTGACAGCTCTATCGCTACTTTTACGGAAAATGCTCAAACAGAGCTACATTATATTTTAAACTTCACGGCTAGGACCCGCCATGCTACGCATCTTGTAGCAAACCACCCACATTCCCGTCCGTAATAATTTCTAATCGATCAACTTCTTTTCGAGAAACACTGCTCTGTGGAACCAATTCTTAAGAGGATGTTTCTACGATCACTACAATCTTAATCTGTTCAGGTCTAGGGTTAATCCTTATCTTCCCCACCTATCCGCATAAATTCTCCCTCTTACTCTATAACCCTCTACTTCGAATGGCCCACGGGCCTTGTACATGGTGAACCTCAGGGCAAAAAAGCAACTCGTAAGTTTGCTATTTAAACTATTTAAATTGTTCGAACTGTTGTCTTCAGCTTTATTGTCAGATTCACGAAGTTTCTGCTGTTGTACACCCCGTTTTGTACTGAACCCTTTTAGTCCACGGGGATAGATTGCTCTAATTCAGCGTATCCTCGCGAAATATCCTGAATGTTACAATAAAGACGAGGACAACAGTCCGAACAATGTAAATAGTTACAATACTTCATCTCAAAAATATAGGCAGATCCTGAATCAGGTGTGACAAAGATGAGAACAACAGTTCTCATAATGTGAATATTGTAAATAGTTACAGTAAATATAGAGAGATGTCGTAATTTTGTGTTTCTGTACGAGGTCAGTCAAAAGTAACGCCCAATTTCTGTTTTTTACGGTTGTCAATTGGTTGTTTGTTATATTCGGACATAAGTTCTGTCCGAATTTTAACTTTTTGTTAAAATGAACGAAATTTAAGGAGTATTTTATAATGTCTAATGGAGCTGAACATTATTTTTTATTTTTAGATGAATTTAAACTGATCAAATTTCAGAGAACAATAAAATTAAATTTTGTTTGATTAAAACCCTGCTAACATGGAAGTACCCAAGAATCATTTGAAAAATGGGTGCCTCATGAATTGTGTGAAAACAACCTCAAATCCCGAGTTGACATCTGCTCTTCTCTCCATTCTCGCCAACTTGTTTCACCTTTTTTGGATAGACTTGTGACTGGCGACGAAAAATGGATCTTTTATCGAAATGTTAAGCGTCGTAGACAGTGGCTCGGTAAAAGGGAAGGACCCCAGCCACAGCCGAGAAGGGAACTTCATGGGCAAAAGGTTCTTTTTTCAATCTGGTGGGATCGCCATGGAATAATCCACTTCGAATTCTTACCATCTAATGCAACAATTGATGCTCAAATATACTGTCAGCAATTAGAGCGTTTGAACCAAGCTTTGAGGAAAAAAGACCTGCTCTAGTGAATCGAAAATGGGTGATGTTTCATCAGGACAATGCGCGACCCGACACAGCAAGAATCACGTCACAAAAGATCGAAGAACTTGGTTGGGAGAAAATTCCTCATCCACCTTATTCTCCCGATCTTGCTCCTTCAGACTTGATTGAATCTCTAGTTAAATGTAACATTTGGTCACTTGTTTTCTTTATTCAAAATTCGGACAGAACTTATGGGATGACCTGATATATATATATATATATATATATATATATATATATATATAAAAGAAAAAAGAAAGAAACAGGCTGATGTCTGGACATCGGATGTGATAAGGTGGTTTGATTTATAGTCTTCTTTCATTTTCAGATTCTATTGATGAGACGGCACTGGGAAACTACCCTACTGCTGTGTGAAAGTGATTGCATTTTTTAAAAATAAAATTGCTAAACAAAAACGGAAAATAAATTAAAATTCAACATTACAGAATAGAAACGAAGATCTGGCAAATGAACATGCCATGTTTTATAAATAAAAAAAATAGAAAGGTAATAAATAAAGAAGACTAACCAAAATGCAGTATAAAGAAAAGAATGGCAAAGAGAAAAATAAAAGTTGTGCCAGAATACATTGAGATTTAGCGTTTGTACTGAACTGGATAAAGTAGACGGTCAAGCTATCCATTGATCCATCGTCTGCATCCCGTTGACATGTTCGGACAGTATGAGTTTGGTCAATTACATATGTGGTCATCATGATTGTCCGGCGTCTCGTTGTCTCGGAGGACTCAATAATGAAGCATGGCTGGCAGTGTACACCGGCCAAAACCGAACGGTGGGCAGACGATGGAGAAATAATAGATGAACGTCAAACACAAGTTGCAAGCGAACCAGCGTTATCCTAATTTTTTTTTTTTTTTTTGTATTTTACCATTTTTCTTTTGTTGCGACAGCAATAACCTGATGACTATGATTATAGCCTAGTGCTTCAAGCAAATGTTGATTAGTTTGGAAGCGATAAATTTTAGATATGCTGCATAAATGAAATTATTTATTGATACGTGAAATAATTTTTCCAGTTTTAAAACCAAACTTCTTCACTAAAAAAATCATCAAATACAAACTTGACCTATGTTAAAAAAATGTCTAACTTATAGACATTACCGTGGAGATCATATGTTTGTTTTTCGATAGCTATACTATTGAGAAACAAACATCAGAAAGCTCAAATTGTGTGAGAGGCGGAATAGAAAACCTGGGTTAGGCAGTTACGTTCCACGTTCGGAGGATTTGTCTGCTTCGAAAATCAGCGTAGAAAATCTTTATTTTAATTTGGGTTGGAACTCTGATTTCTCGTACCACAAGAAAATATAAATCTACAAGACTGTCTATTATTGTAATGTTGCCTCTTTGATAATTCGAAGATGAACCGATTCAGAAAGATTATCAGGATTTAAGAATAGACCTGGCATTAAATTACACTAATCTTGATCCGATTTTTCATGTTGGATTATTCATGATAATGCGTTTTTTTTATTTTACTTGTTTTCTTTTTTCATTGGAGGAAGAAAAATATATTTTCGAAAATATTTTCTGCCTTTCAGTAATAACACCATTCCGGCCGTTGTGCCTTTCTTCACCATTCCGGCCGTTGTGCTTTTTTCCACCATTCCGGCCGTTGTGCCTTTCTTCACCATTCCGGCCGTTGTGCCTTTTTTCACCACTCTGGCCGTTGTGCCTTTCTTCATCACTCTGGCCGTTGTGCCTTTCTTCATCACTCTGGCCGTTGTGTCTTTCTTCAACACTCCTAATCGCTGTCCTACTAACCAGTTTCACAAGCTCATTAGGTAGGTTATGCGCTGCTTTCTTTTGGCATTTCCGCCTTATGTAAATTCGCTCCTCTTGCAGGGAACGCTGGACAATCCCATGAGACAATCTTATGTCGTTCTACAGAAGAATAGTGAAAATACTATCGACTAAATATGAGAAAAAATGGGAATAAAAAGGGACACACGTAGCATCAAAAAGACACAGCCGACATTTCTAGGTCGCAAATTATCGAAAGGGGACTTGGAAAATTTGATACTCACAGGATATATTGAAAGCAACAGAGACGGGCGAAAGGAGTCCATGGCTTACATGACGAGCTTGTGTTAAGGTTAGGCAGAAAAAAGGATTAGGAAATATAGCATAAAGACAAATTTTACTAAGATGTCCAAAGGATAGGAAATCGTGGAGAGCTATGATCACCCACGTCCTGAAGAGACGATGCATAAAAGAAAAAAGAGCTTGTGAAAATGGTTAATAAACGAAGGATTAGGATAGGTAGAGAAAAGACAAACTCAACTAAGAGCTACAAAGGACAAGAAATTGTGGAGAGCCATGATCGCTCACGCCCTAAAAGTATACGACACATTAAAAAACTAGATTGTGTAAATGTTAGGCAGAAAAGAAGATTAGGGGATATAAAGAAAATACAAATCAGCTGGAAAGGACAGGAAATCGTAGAGAGCCATGATCTCCCACATCCTGAAGGGACAGGCACATAGAACTTTAATCCAAGTATTGCAATTCAGCAGGTCAGATGTTTTCATATCTTTTGACCAATGAAAAAGACAAAGTCTAAAATCTTTGCGTTCTCCTCTCTCATTGAGATCTTTTCTTACACAGCTATTTTCTTTCTCTCTTCCTCTTTCTCTCTCACGCACAATCTCTCTCTCTCTCTCTCTCTCTCTCTCTCTCCCTCCTTATTCACCTCTTTCTTTCCGTCCTTCTTTATTTCTTTCTTTTCATTTCTTTCGGTGTATTTTCTTATCTACAATATCGTCTTTTATGTCTCTTGATTTTGTTTTGTCCTTTCTTCCTCAATTTACGATCTTTTCTTTTCTCTCCCACCGACTCTTTGACTATTTCTTACTTTCCCTCTTCTTTTCCACCCAATACAAGGCTCAAGTTCAACTCAATGTAGTGGATTACATTTACATCTGGGATATGAATTCATGAGAAGCTGATAGAAAGTGAAGATTGTGAAGATAAGAAATAAAGATACCGATTGACTCTTGCTCCGAAGGTGGGTGTTCTTAGCGAAAATGCTGAAGGACAGGATCTTTCGTTTTACACGTATAGTACGGAGGAAATGAGGATGATTCGACAACGTGGAAGTAGCATGATGTATTATCTCGCATCCATACGTCAAATGTGGCGTTATACATTCATTATAAAATTTATGCATTAAACGTGCGTTTCATTATGTTTCTATGCTTACAATATACTTTCCAATATCATTTCAATAATAAAAGACTGCATTTGTATCTGTTCAAAAGATTCCCTTCTGTAAAATTTGGCTGGTACATTCGACTTATGCATAACGATATAATCTTGATAGTGTCTTTTCGCATTACCTACTGTTGTGGATTCCGATGATGAAAGTGACTCTGAAGATGGTGCGCGAGTGGTGTATTTAAAGTCGGATCCACTGAGTTTTACCTCTAACATCAGTACTCTACCTACGGACGTCAACGTGGCCAGCTGTCCAGAGGCGGATGATAGCTCAATGGATGAGAGTTCATTTGAGGATGAGGACCCTGTCATCCCGCTCAGAAGGAGTGTCCGGCAGAAGAGGCCTGCCCCGAGTTGCACGGTGTGCGATCATGACAGCGAGACACGGGATGAATCTGGAAATCTGCCACCTCGGAGCAAACGAGTTCGCGCATGTGTGGTTATCCCAATATGTCAAGCGTGCAAGTTGTATATATGCGGACGCAGTCACTAGACAGACGCAACCATCTCTCGAACTGAGAAGCTTTGTGATCTTAAGATCAGAGGGGGGGGCGTGTAATGAGTTGGTCGGTCAACTTGAAACCCACAAAGCGAGTGGAGGTGGGCAGGCGCGGGAACTGTGATTGGTAGCTAGCTTGTTGGTGTTTTGCATATGTGAGCTCTATGTAAAGGGCTGGAATGAGAAGGAGGGCAGTTTTTCAGTCTCAGAAGTGGAGAATGTGTCCGTCGCTACGACAGCAGGAGAGAAAGAGACGAAATCATTTATTTTTTCGTGATACATTCCAACACAATTCTATAACACCTTTCACCGTCACTTACACCCTGTGGTGTAACCACGTCTATTGGTCCGGTCCTTAGGGGCTTAGAACGACTATTTAACCACGGGGATATCTGTGCTTGTCAATGTTGACGCTGGCCCAAGCTGATTATTGGTCGCTGGCCGCTTTGATCCACACCAACTCTGCCCACGCTCTGTTCTTGATCTCAGGGCAGTGGGAAATCGAAGGTTGTAGTCTCGCACAGCTGGTTCAAGCCGTGGCGAGTGCTATATTAACAAAAAAACATCTTCACGACGAAAAATCAAACGAGTGATTCGTGGGGGTAATCTTCAACAAAATTAACCCTTCCCGCATCAATATCTACAGAGACACTGTGTCTTGTCTAAACTTCTGGAGGGCTGAGTTTGAAGTCTTGGAATCAGGAATCTGGTTGGCAGCTGACGTCGAATTCTGAGTCACTCAATGCGGGATATCAGTCTAAAGTATCTGAGTTCCCCAAAGTCATCTGCTTATATGCACTTCGACCCAAAACTGGCGTGGGTCTGAAGATTTCTGGACATTCGGTAATTCCCCAATTTTCATTAATTCCAATAATGGTCTTTTCTCTTCCCTATTTCTGCTTTCTTAATCAACATTCCAAATTTGGAGAATTATCCACCTTCCTTGGGAGCAGTCACAGGGATTGCTCTTCCATTAACTCCAACCTGCTTCATTTCACATTTCGCACTGCTACTTCGCACAGACGGGGGCTAAATTATGTCCCTTCCACCTTACTTCTCGTTATTCTAACTCTGTCCACTTATTGGGCTTGGCATAACTGTCTTTTTGACAAATCTAATTTTTAAAGTGCGCAGGAGAAAGTGCGTGGTTTATTCTCCTCATTAATTTAAATTCTCTGTCTTTTTGCCGGAGCCACATGCCTGGCGAAAAAACACAAATCAGATCCCATTCTCAATTTAACATTTAGAGCAATAGATAAAATTATTTCTCAATTTATTTTCGTCAATGAAAATATATGTTTACTTAAATTCACAACAAAGAGACCCGCTGTTCTCTATCCTTGAGCTAATCGCTTTCTTAGCGAAAACATAAGTCAGATCACCTGCCTGTTATGACGGATCGATTTTCATAATCCTATCCCTCGCAGCGGGTTCATTCTCTGTTTTCATTTCTCAATTCGTTTACGCTAATGAAAAAAATAATTATCGTCTGATTCTCTTTTCGCCAATAACATGTGTTTTTTTTCTAATTTCCCAAGAAAGAGATAAAGCCATTTCCTATTTTGCTTTACCCACATGACAGATCTTCGATAGATTAAAAAAAAATAAATTCTTGGTGCATCGTTTCAATTCGTTGGGGTGAGCCAACACAAATGGCCTTTTCTTCATTTCCACGTTACCAGGGAAAATGTCTTCCATTCTCTCTTTCTATCTCCAGTTTATGTTCAATTTGGGCTTAACACTTTTTCTGCTTAGAATTAATGTTTAAACACGACAGTCTTAATGTCAGTATTCGTGTAGACATTAACTTTTAATGTCTTGTGTATGCATTATTTTTCCTGTGCAGTTGGAATAGAGATCGATTCATTGAACTTATATTGCCTTAACTACAAATGATTTAGAATGCAGCAGGCCAAATCATTTTTTTTAGAAAATATATAATTCAGAGCGATGCCAATCACGTCATTAAGTGTCAGAAGGTAATCGGGATAGTTGCAAGTCCTCGTCATTTTGACAAGCCAATATATACAGTGCTTCTCTCAAGGTAAATGTGATCTGCATTGACAGCAAGCAAATCAGCTGCAAATGACACGAAATGGCAGTTTCTTAATAGACCAGTCTATCAGTTGCTTTCACTTTCTCTCTCTCTCGAGACAAACACACACAATCGAGACATGGTAATGGCGAACAGCGTGTTATCATCGATGCGGTAGCATCTCTATAGATTCGGATTTCTACTCTTTGTTCTTCCTTGGTGTACACTGCTAGCGGAGCGGCCATGTTTACGCTATAACAGCAACAAGAAAATGGTGTGACCAAGCATAAACTTCGATCACGTGAGCACAATAGTACCAACTATAAACACGTATGAGCAGAAGGCATTGTGACAAACCTAAAGATTAGTTATGACGAAAGTGACTTACCCTCATATAATACATATATATATATATATATATATATATATATATATATATATGCTCGTGCAAGAATAAGTGCCTATACATATATTATTTTATCATATCTATATATGTAATATCCAATAACAAAAGTGATGAAAACAAAAAGAAAATGAATCAAAATGAAATCGGCTAGATTATATATATATATATATATATATATATATATATATATATAATTTATTTTATTATTTTATATTTTTTATTCATATAAAAAATTTTATTTTTATTTTTTTTTTTTAATTTTTATTCTTTAATTTAATTTTTATTCTTTTCATTTTATTCTTTTTATTTTTTTGGTTTTACACACTCTTTGTCCAGAAAAGAACGCACTCGTTCGAACACAAGAAAAATTAAATAAAAAGCTTAACCGTAGTACCTTGTTCGTCGTTTTTAATGAAACATCTATATATATATATAAAATAAATTCCCAGCATCCCTCGTTCATGCGCATGTGTAGTCGCACCAATATAACAAATTTAGTCCGATGATGCCCTAAAGTATCAAATGCATCACATGAAAATGTGTTTGTTTTTTTTTACTTTGTCATACATTTTCCACAAAGTATAAATGTTGATTGCACTGGATGAAATACCAAATGAATTTTAAGTCTAATAGTTTTATTTACAGTATGCAGTGATATTATCAATAGGAATCGACAAGATTTTATAGAGTCGAAATAGCGTGTTTAAATGATTTTCAAAGAAGATATTTAGATATTTGAAGAATTATTGAACAACATATATGTCATTTTGTCATTTTTAGACAACTTCATAATTCTATCCTTCCAGAACTTGGTATCTTTCAGGATGATGAAATAGTCTCAGTGTTTTTTTCCAAGTAATGGAAGTTCTCATTGAGTTAATTTTTAGGCTTCAAAATCTGGTAATCCGCAGATACAGGGTCAAATAAGTACAGATGAAGTACTCGGCCAACTTCTAACAATTTCTGCATGGGTTGTAAGAAGACGTGACATTTGACAGTTTCCTGGTAGAAGAGCAAGCTCTCCAGTTTGCGCAATTCTGGGCGCTTTTTATCGATTGCTGCTTTTTGGCAACTGTGAACAGTACTTGTCTGAACTTATCTTTGAACTTTGAGAAAGGAGCTTCGTAATAGATCATGTCCTTCCAATTCCACCAGATACACAGCATCACGTTTTCAGACCGGCTTCTACAGGATTTAACGATGGCACATTTCGGTTTTTCTCAGGATTCTTCACTCTAATTTGTTATAAATAATCCATTTTTCCTTGACTTTAAAAAAAAATGTATTCGAGCAGAGAATCACAGATGAAATTGCGGTCCATTATATTTTCCCTTTAAAACGTAAGGCGCCCAACATTGTAGTGATTCATGCATCTAGACATTTTCAAATGCCTTACAATAATTATATGACTTACATGGAGTAACTTTGCGATGTCCCGTATCGTCTGACTTACTTTATTTATATCAGCGTTCCTGTCTGGTAATTATCAATATATATATATATGTATGTGTGTGTATATATATATATATGTATGTGTATATATATATATATATATATATATATATATATATAGTTAAACCTAAAGAGCCAGACAAACCTACCAAGGTTTCACCTAAGCGGATCGTTAGGGAAGGCCGTCTAACAAGGTATATAGTCAATAAACAAAAAAACATAACCACGGGACCAAACAAAAAAACAAGAGGGTTGGGGAATACCGTTTATTCAAAATTGACGAAAGAGGGTGGGGTAAAAAAGAAGAAAAACACGGATCAACTGGGGTGGAACTATTTATTCAATTGAAACAATAAATAAATAAATAATAAATAAAATTAAAAAAATATAAAAAAATATTAATTTCTGGGGAGAGGAGACCTAGTCTAACAACCAACATTTTTTATGTCAACATTTGTTTAGAATTTCGGTTTTAGAATTTAATTACTGATTAGGTTCCTTATATAAAGCTATAGCTAATTTTTCCTCAAGACATAATTTACAGAATTTATAACCTGCTCTATATTTAGAACATCTTTTTAATATTTCCCATTTCAGGATCGGATCTTTGTTAATGTCCTGTCTGATTTTCCATATATAGGTAGATATTGTAGTGCTATGTTTGTTTTTTTCATTATTAAAGCTACTTATATGATTGTAATATCGTTTTTTAAACACATTTTGAGTAGCTCCTATATATATTTAGGGTTTATATTATTGTTATAGTCATTTATGTCCATATATATATATTTAAACCTGGTACACCACGCTCTCCTGTTGACATTTTCTCTGGAGGGGGCAGTCTTTTTTGTTTCTACAATTGCATCTAGAAGAAGTAGTGCGTGGATTATCCCTAGTTTTTTTTTTTTTTCTTATTATATCCCTTAATTAGATTCGCTTAGTTTTTCCCTGTTTTTATTAAATATTGTATGTAGTTTGCTAGTCTTTGGGAAATGTTCCAGTAGATTGAAGATTATGTTACCGATTTTAGTTTTTACAGGTAGATTAAATGGAGGATTAAACCATAATATATTTCT